TTCTCTCTCTCCCTCTCTCTCTCGCTCTCTCTCTCTCTCTTTCTCCCCCATTTCCGCCCCCCCGTGACCTCCAGCCGTCGGTCGTCTCAGGAGGAACCGGGACGCCGAGCGAGGAAAAAAAAAAAACAGCCTTTAAGCAAGACTAGGAGGCTTGACGAGAATACGTGACGTTAATGGCAACCCTGGCCTTCGATCCAGCGCCTTATCGCCTCTTCGAGACGTCTCGAAGGGGAAACGGATCCATTCGAGAACCAGTGAGATGGATGTCTGTTCGGAAATGCGAGACGGCGCAAGAGCTTCGGGGACACGACGCGTGGAATTAATTGTTACCGGCGGGAAAAGCGATCCCCGTCCGAAGGAGGAGCAGGAGAAGAAGATTTCTCCTTCTTCGACTTCCACCGCAGAACTCGCAAGGGCTCGCACCTCGGGGGGCGTTTCGGAGGCCAGCAATCCAGACCCAAATGGAATCAATAAAGCCTGAAGTCTGAGATAGAAATCACCTGCGAAACACTCTATATAACGAGACCAAATGGATCCGTTTAAGGCGACGGGGAATATTAGTCGGGCTGCAAACGGCCACGTGTACCTTTTCAACATCCATCGTATCTGATCGCCTTATCCCTGACCTGAGCCAATTGCAACCCATTCCTGCGGAAGTCCCCCTACGCTCAGCCGTTAGAGCCCTCCCTCGCGAGCGAGAGGACCCGGGTTATTATTATTATTATTATTATTATTATTCCCCCGTCGCTCCGCACATTGTACTGGAAGGAACCAACCGTTGGTCATTCCCAGTGCCAATCACCCGTTTGGATTCTCAGCCGCTGAGGCAAAGCACACAGGTCACATACGCTTCTCCTCGACTGCTCCTACATCAGTTATTCTTAGAGGACCGTTAATTTGCTGATCAGCCGCTTGTCGGATCTTTTCGTTTTAATTAGGCGCTCATAGCGGGAATTATATATATTTTTTTGAGAAGCCAAAGCCATTCTCAAAGCGGCTGCGAAATGCATAATCTCTGTCGCAGAAGAGAAAGCGGCAACAATGGGATAACACTCGAGCAGATTTGTGTCTCTCAACACCTCCGTCAATTACGTAAACGCGGTCCTATTTTTTTCACCCTGCTTCCCGAATTCCGGAGAGTTTTAGGCGCCGGTGGCCAAGAGCTTTGGGGGGGGGTGGGGGTGGGAGGGGGGAGACCAGAGGGTGCGTTGGGGTTAACTGCTGGAGTCTAACCAGCTACAACCGCACAGAGCTTGGCCTTTGAGAGAGAGAGAGAGGGAGCGTGCGCTGTCTGGCCAAGCGTTCCCGTCTCTCGTCCACTTAGGACCAGTGTCCTGCAGCTCAGGGGTTAGAGCCCTCGCCTCGCGAGCGAGAGGACCCGGGTTCGATTCCCGGGCACGTCGGGTCAGGGAGAACCACTGGGCAAGTTTCCTTACTCTATACACACACACACACACACACACCCCTCAAAAAATTAATTACCCCTTAAAAAAAAATCCACGACGGTTTGTGAGACAAACGAGGAGTTTGGCCCACAAAACATAAATAGACAGTCAATTCACTTTATGGTGTGTTCTGCGCACCGCTTCCAGACGTCCCGAAGACACGATAAGGCGTTGTATCTAACACAAGTATTATTATTATTGTTATTATTGTCGGACTTAATTAAAGCCTGTAAAAAACAATTTGCCCTAAATTGTAGGAAATGGGGCCGGAATGACGGGGAGCAGTCCTTAAATCCAGTCGCAGTTTAAGGAAGTCCAAATCCAATGGCATCAAAGAGCTTGTGAGAGGCGAGAAATTTGGGGTTGTGATATATTTGAACAGCGTTTGGCACAAGGAACTCCAAATGCAAACGCTATATTTTACGTGTGATTTCCTTTATAGCTCGCGAGCCGGTCGCTGCGCTGTTTTCTTTAAGCTGGAGAATGATAAACAGGGCCACAAATCCATGAAAAAGGCATTTAAAATGCATTGAAAAAATACTATTTAATCACTGATGTGCCACTGCTTTTTCCCCAGGATAAAGCTTCCACGATTCACATTGTTCTGCGATGTCGATCAGCTGAACTTTATCATATGATTGAGTTTGACTCCCTGCAGTTATGTTAATTTCCTTGCATCCAAAACAGTGGAAATGTTCCTTTAATTATAATAAGTGCTCTGTCCCCCGTAGCCATCCACGTCCATCTCGGCGTAACTCGGAGTATATAGTCAGTTTACTCAATACTGCGTCCTGTGAAGTGCTTCGAGACGTCTCGAAGGCGCGATGAGGTGCTGCATCAAACGCGAGGAT